TTCCATGGAATATGAGTCAGAGGGTAAGCCCATGATTTTTTGCAAGGATACCTACTGCAGCACAGTCGGTACGTCGGGACCCATCACACGTGACCGCTGGCAGCGGGTTTCGCGACGCTGCGGATGAAAAAGATGTGCTAAAGTAAGGGCACATCCGTTGAGATCAAAGATGCGAGTCGAGTCAAAAGATCTGCAAATCAGGCGCGTGTTAGCAGTACGCATGCTATTGATCAAACATGTTTCGTAATGACCCGTTCGATGTTTAAAGCCTTTAAGCCGATGCTTTTCATACAGCTATGGCAATGTGTCTGGGCCGCCAAAGACCAACATCAAAAACAACACATTCTTTACCAATCGTTTCGATTCCGGACCCGTGGTGAGATCCGCCAGCCAAACAAACAAGAAAACAGCCAACCCGTACCAGTACCCGTAGCGTACGAGCCAGGTCTAAGACCTCACGAACTACGTATACTGTTGATCATACAAACACACAACGAACATGAGGTCAAGCCGACCAGGGACCATGGAGCTGGGTCAGACTGGACCTGTGGGGAGTAGTAATCAAATAGTTGTCACTGATTTTGTAAGTCGAAAGGTGGGAGCTTGTTGGGAGGGCCATCTTTGAAGGATTTAAAAGAAGGACCCTTCCAGATCAAAATTGATCTCGATTTCCTACTTCTTCCCAGCTTCTACCTCTTCCCCGCAACTTGGCTTCCCCAATCAAAGAGGATTACATGATTACATAAATTACACGTGTCTCTTATATATAACTTATCTTAGGGTTCTTATTTGGCACAGTCTCCTAGTCCGCCATCGAAAAGAAGGTATAGAGAAGCTCCCCAAGCACCCACCCCAAGCATTCAAACGGAAGGTATAGTTGGAGCCTTAGGGCATAGATGGGGATGGATCAAAACCCCAGACGCTCCATGGGACTGCCGTATATGCCTACAATGCTACATTGACCCCCCCAAACCACCCCAATGTAGGCATAATGGCATGAGCCTGTTAGGTCTAACATCATGTAGCCAACGACCTTCAAGGTAGGTCAACCAGTCCGTATTTTGGTGCAATGAACCCACGGCCATATTTTTGGAGGAGGTTGGATCGGTTGCAGGAGGGCCCATTGCTAAGCCTCCTTGTTGCACGGTTTTCAGGTACTAAGCGCGTAGAGCATATGATGAAACCTTTAGGTTTGGGTTGCTGGGCTGCGCACAGTTTCCGTTCTCACTATGCAGGTGTGTGTTTTAGTCGGGAGACCCCCAACCAATGGGTTTTAGATGGTTTAGTTTGTATCCCTTCGTCCAGGGGGTATGTGGGAGGTCTCCCTATTTTACTACAGACTAATTCGAATAATCAATAATGTGAAGACCGGATTGATAAACCCGCCCCCCCCACATGGAAGGTCTAGAAGGTCTAGATAGTCTCAGGTACCATTCATGAGGTCCACTCCCCCCTGAATAATGTGCTATGAGGCCATTGACCATGAAGGTTTGAGAGGGGATGAACTGATGAGCATGAGGCCAGAGTCCATATAGGAAGCTATGAGTTCATAGTCATAGGAACCAAGGGATGAGAGGAACTAGTTAATCCCTCAATAAACACAACTCTAAACATTTTTGGGGTTGTGTAGGCTCGGGTTAACTGGGGGGATTTCTGGTGCCCAACTAGGCAATGAGGGGGGGAAATCAACCTTTTTAATTTGGGCAACTTTTGGGGATTAACTGGAGGGGATTTATTAATCCAGCTGAGATTTGACATTATTTTTGATCACTGGGAATCTATGACTATACCATCTAACCGGGTCAGATCCATTTCGTTTGCAAGAACCGGGTTCCATGGCGCAGGAACGCTTGTTTTGGTCGAGCGAACACTTGTTCGGACCGACAACGATCGATTCGCAGACTGCGACCGAGTAGCCGCGAAGTCCTTCATCCATAGCCTTGGTACCCAGGACTTCGCGGAAAGCACTGCCTGAGGCTGGCGTCCTGTGGCCAGGGACTACGGACTACGACTACCTAGCAGATCAGTGGGTCACACGTTCCGATCAGATCACCTCTCTGGTGGCGATTGGTCTCCCTACCTAAAGCAATGGGCCAACAGGTGGAAAAAAGGGTTAACTGATGGAGTCAGCATTCCATTCCACAGCAGGCAGGAGGAATAAGGAGGAAAGACAGGCAAAATCCGCTTATCGGCTATCTCTGACTTCTCCCACCTGAGACTGGGATGTAGTATATTAGAGATCCATAATGGGGGCTATAATGTTAATTTGAACATATCAACCCTACGTAGTGCACCGTCTTTCTGCGAATTCCCTCTCAGAGGGTGGCAGCGGATCCATAGGGGCTATAATGTTATTAGAGATGGCTCAACTCCTTGACCTGCCTACCCATGCAGACAAGGGGGGTATTGCTGCAGATTGAGGACACTCCGCTAAGAAATATGTGGGATAAAGCTTAACCTATCTTAACCTCCATTTTCCAAACCGAGGGAGTCAATGGAACATTGATGCAAGAATTGCTTTCACCCCACTCAAAACCCACCAATGGAGTTTGTTCGCTTCACCAAACTCGGCCCAACTCCCAACTCCACTTCGGGCGCGCGCACCGAACCGACATGTCGGCCGGAACCGGCCGTGCAAGGCACCTCAAAGCCTTTACATCCACCGGAGGTGCGAACAGGGGTGCACAGTAGAAAGTTTTTTCTTCACTCAAGAGTGATTTTGGCTCCAACATGAGGCAGTCGTGTGTCATGGGTCATCCTTATTTAAGGAGTGTGGAGCCAAGAATTTAACATTTCAAGTTTACAAGGTTTGATTGCAAAGACATCAGTCATGCAATTGTTTTCTAATGGTATTTCAACTTCCGTTTTGGATTTGCAGCGTTGTTTCATGTGCGCTTGTTAGCCTGCCACAGCAATGGGTCAAAGGGGGTCACATTTAGTGCACAAAGACCACATCGCAACCTTTGCTTGGATCGCTTTCGGTACGATCGGTTGGGTGGACTAGTTCGCTCGATACTGGTTGCAGCCTTTAGTACATGTTTGTACATGCTCACGAGGTTCTGTACGGATTGATTGAGTTCGATGCAATTTGTGCACAAATGCTCGAAGCGACGTGTGAGGCAAGTGATTTGAATGATACCTGGTACCATTTGGTACCCCTGAAGAGTGATAATTCTCACTCCAGTTTGGAATATGTTGAAATCATCAATATCTTTTGGACAGTGGTGTGACAAAAATGCACTCCGGAGTGGATAAGTAGTGATCAGTCCAACCACAATTGCCAATTGCATTCAGATTGCGTTCACCGTGCGTTCACTATTTGCGTTCAATTAGCGGTTCGCTTTTTGCGTTCCACGCGGAGCGTTCGGGTTACGCAACGTGTAAACCGGTCCAACTCTCCCGACGTGCTGAATTTGACACCCCACCCCACTTCCCCAAAGCTTGATCTGGAGTGACAAGTTTATCACTTCATATCCTTCAAGGACTTCATACTTGCATTCCAAAGCCCCAGAAAGGACCCTCAGTTCACTGGGGTTTTGACCCTCACAACTGGACGTTTGGGTGCTCAAACATGTAGCAGTTTGAGGGTCCTTGAGCCTCTAGCATATAACATTATGACCATGCCACAGACATCAGGGTATGTGCAACAAACCTTGGACCCTGAATGTCACAATGTCCATTCTCATTCACAGGGTAACCTGGGAGTGTATTGGACTAGGAGACAGAGACTATGGAATCTAGGGAACGACCAACTGGAAGGACCAACTGGAAGAAAGATATCATTATATATTTATATATCATTGATACAATACTACATTCGTCCCCAGGGCCCCAACCACCTCATGAGATAGACCCCGCCAAACCCACCGAAAAACCACCTTCTTCATTCGTCTCAAAGAGAAGGGCAACTTGGTCTCCAAAAGGAAGGACAGAGATCCTGGAGGTCCGTTCTGGCCACACGCCCTTGGTCGTGCCGCACGCCGCTCCGCCGCAGGATCCATGGGATGGACATTCTGCGCAATGGCACTACCAGCCCGGATGCCCGGGACGCTTCGCGACGCTTCGCGACGCGAAGACGCTTCGCGAAGGAGAAAGAAGTGCCAACTTCTGTTTTAAAGTGTATATACATGAGAATGGCTGCCTTCAAGTCGATCTAGGTCCAGACGGTTGATAGAGGGTCTCTCGCAGATATCTGATTAATAGATATTAATAATGATGAAGGCCTGGCGACATCCCTATTCCGAGACATGGATCCATGGTCTTCTCATGGCCCGGTCTCGGTATCCCTTCATTCCCCCCAATTGCTCTGCGCTCAGATGGTGGCCGGTCTCCACGAGTCCACCTTCCGTCCTTCACCGGACTTCACCAGACCCACAACCACTTCCGCCAGTTCAGCCCACCAAACAGACTTGAGGAAGGTGTTTTTGGTCAGAAGCCACTGACGTCAGAGGGGTTTTCGACCTCGCCACTGGAGTTGGAAGCTGACCTAGGTCACCAGAGGCGTCGTTCGGTCGCCAGGTTCGGCCATGATCGATGCTGGCAAGAACAAGGACGGTGGTTTCGAGTCAAACGCGCACCGGTCAGACCCTTTCGAGCCGGGAATTCGACGGGTCTTGGGCCGGTCTCGGGAGGTGTTTGTTGTTGTTGTTGTTGTTTCTGAGCTTTTCTGGTCTTGAAATGTGTTTGCCCAGCCTGCCATATTTTGGGGAGCTCTACGGCTCTATGGTCTCGTTTTGAATGATGCTTGTGTCTTGTAGTTGGACCAAAAGAGCGAACTCTCTCTTAAGGTGTTGGGAGTGGTGTGTCTAACACCCAAAGTTGAAGGAGACATCTCTGCACCAGAAGTTCCAAAAGCGGAGGTCGTGTTGGGGTGCCAGACCGTGGATATAAGTGTGGATCATAGCCCCTACTTACCCACCCCAGGAACTCGATGGAATTCCTGTGGAGCTTTCGAATCACTTCTGCCAACCTGGGTTTTCATGTGGCTCATGTGCACATCCGGCTCAACTCAGCGTGGCCGTTATAGCACACCAGTGGGTTTTCGGGTTTGCCGCAGCAGCAGCAGCCGCAGCACCTTGCAATCCTCGACATGGCACCCTGGTGGGAGCAGCAGATTCTTTGGGGCCCGCCACTCGGAGCAAATTCGACGTGGGATTCGGAGGATGGATGTTGTTGTGTGTGCTTTTTTTGTTTTTTTTCGGGGTATTTGGACAATATAGACCATATCATTGATTTATATATTGATGTGTAATATAATCAATATTATATTACCTGCACCACCCTTTGGTACAGAAAAATTTGCTCGAGGTATGTTTCTTATAAATGCGCACGATTGAGTACATGTTCCAAGAAATGTGCACGGTTCAACTTTGGAAAAAAAAGGCGCTCGAGTTGCGCGATGAAAATGTGAAGTGCTTCAGAAAGCCATGGGATGAAGCAGAATGATTGTGAAAGCGATAAAGTCAAGCAATATCTGAATGTCATCGAGTCGATCCATCACTTTTTTCCATTTCACCTCAGCCAGCCTTTCTTCTTCCACTCACTTTTGTAGTGGCATAGTGCCCGCTGAATAGTCCTCAGCGCTATACACCAAGCATGGCAACGTCTGCTCATTCGGCAGACCTGAGAAAGCAATCCATGCAAGTGACCGAAGTTGGCATCAAACACAAACATGAGGCACAGCGTGGTCATTGTTTCCAAGTGGCTCGTCCAATGAAATCTTCATCTATCCATGTTTGGTAGCCTTAGGGTAAGAACAGCACACCGACCAACATGCACAAACCAGCAGGGCAGGGTGTTAACAGGTGATGTCAAAGGGCACGCCGGCGAAAGTATCCAATCTGCACCTTGATCAGCCAGCTGATCACACATCCACATCCTTGGGCGCATGACAAAGCACATGTCTCGCACGATGGGTCATGGAGAGAACGCAACCATCGGCTTTCAGAACCATTTCTTGTATGTAACTCTGCTGTATTAAGAGTTGAACCAGGACAGGCAACAAGCACATGACACCTGCGAGACTCTTCTGTTTGCTTGCATGTGGTCCTATGCCACAACCAGCAGCACAGAACACACATCCCATGCATTAAAAGAAATCCATTAAAACATCTATATCTATATGTGCTTGGATATATAAAAAGCGATGTACATGACTCTAGACACCACCAACGCTGTAGCATTCTTCACAGAGTGCTGCGAAGGTTCATGATTTCTTGCTGCATGTGTGCTTTCGGCCGCTTGGCAAACAGCTTCCAAGATTTACCATCACAGTAGGCATGCAGTGCACTGATTCCTTCCTTGGAAACACAAAGGGCAATCTCGCAGGCTTACATCACATGAGCTGCAACACCACAAGCTGAAATGACAAGCAAGTCTCGGTCATTGATTGACATGCTGATACAGACTGCTCCGCAACATCCCTCTTGAGCCATGTTTTGTGGCTTGGGATGGATCGAAAGTACACATCGATGTTTTGCAGAGTGAAATGGAAGAGAGCCCAAATATCTTGGTCCACCCCCTTAGCTAGAGCAGCCAAGCCAAGTCTCAACAACCACAACCAACTTCACAAACAAGGACCAAATAAGTCATGGGACATGCTCTTCCGGGTTCACTGTGCTCACAAGGTGGAGGAGCCACTTGGAAACCACCGTGGTGTCATAGCCTTTCCATGAGCATTTCGGAAAGTCTGAGAGCCTGACAGCTGCACGTACAGGCAAGACCCACACACAAATTCACATGCAATACGCTGGTCCATGCAACTCGTTTGCACACCAAGAAGCGACGTCATCTTGAATGTGGCAAGCTCAAACTTTGTCAATGAAGTATTCAACTTCATGGCCCGGCGCCATATATCAAAGGAATCAAAAGCATTGGACAAACGTGCATCAATGTTGTTCCCACCAAACAGGTGCCATCTGCAAGCAAGTAGAACCTCAACAGCACACTTTCTCAGCGGGGCACAGTCCAAAGCACATGCGTACCAACAGAAACCATGAGTGCAAGCATGATACTATTCCACCTGCGCAAAATTCTCTTCCGATCCCATGATGCCACGTATGCATTTGGTCAGGGGGGCTAAAGCAGGGGTGGCAACCAGGAAGTTGGTGAAGCAAAGGCTGCTCTCCTGGGCGGACAGGATCTGCACCTGGCCGTTGGCTTCGCCACTATGCTGTTGCTTTCATGTTCCACCAGTCCTGAGGGCGCATCGCCTTCTTTCAAGCTACAATCAGCCACATACAATGTCTTGATGGCTGAAATACACCAAGGCACACTGCCATCACAGTAGTGACATTTTCTGACTGAGGTAAAGCCTGGGGTCAACTTGTGCACCTTGCCTGAGCCCACATTGCTCTCTCAGCACCATCTCAGCTTCATGCCATGCAGATCATGTGCGTCCAGGCAACGCAAGTATACCCAATCACCCTTTATTCCAAACGGCACCAGGTATAGTCTCTCTTGTGCCCCACTGGCCAGGGTCACCTCAGAAAAATATACAAAGAAGAAATAGCAAACAGTCTATCAGTGAATTGAGAACTGACAAATTGCTGGCCAAAAGACTGTCATTCCCTGCATGTACAGCATCGAAAGGTCAGCAGCCACAGCATCATGTATAATGTCCAGGCTGGAGTCACCAGCATACTTTTCCCCAGGCAAGATTGCAATGAGCTGCCGAGATCTGAAGCTGTGTCCAGCAACTTTCAGCACCGGCTGCCAGGACACACACATGACTTGTCGACGGAGCTTGCCACGGCCCTCATCGCCGTGAAGCAGTATTGGCACACAAGTCTCCAAGTGATGTTTATGATCCGTGAACACTTCATGGTCTTTGTGCGTGCGGCTGCATCTTTGCCAAAACTCACTGAACCCACGCTTCCATGATGCAGCCTCATCGAAGGCATGTCCACCCAAAAGAACATGCCCAGAACTTTTGTCTAGCATGAACCTCAAGAAGCTCGAGGGAAGCAACACTGGCCAAGGCATGATGACGGATTCTCCTTTCAGGCGAACTGGTACCTGAAGGTCTGTAAGCCGCACTGAGAGGGTCAGGTGGTATCGATGTATCAGTCGGTGCAAGTTGCGGCTCCAATGCGCGGGGTTTTTCCAGCTGGAAATCTTGCTGAGCACTTCATTTGAACCTCACAACACAACCGCTACACTAAAGGACGACACCACCAACTAACACAGGTTGAAGCTCAGATCCTGACGTCCTCCATAGCGACCCAAATCAAACAAGCGAGTCAGGGAGACAATTTGTCTCGCCGAGTCAGCCTCAAGATTCAAGATTATACACACGCCTATGCATGCGCAATCACACAGTGCACATGATTTGCCTGGGGCTGTGACTCCACGAGCAAACCCTTCAAGCATTCCCTCAAGAAGCTCTGTTTCGATCATCTCTTCATTCTGACGTTGAAGACCTTGCAAGACATCCCCACTTCACAAACCACACTACCAGATTCCAGGCAGGAAGACGAGGCACAATTGCTTGCACTCATTCTCTTGCGCTTAGATCCTCCAGAAAACGGCAGGCAAATACAGGGTGTCAACTTGCTGGGACTGTGGTCAGGCCTCTTGTCCTGGACCTGAGCAGCGCACAGTATACTCAAACAGGATGACAGCACACAGTATATTCAGACAGGAAGAGACATGCAACCAAGAGTGAAGCAATGAAACTTCTTCCTTTTCATGACCATCTTGCAGCATGCCTGGCCAGGGTTTCTGTCCACGTGTGCAAACATGGTCTGGGCAGCGCATGCACAAAGAACATGGTCTGGGCAGCGCATGCACAAAGCAAACGAAAACATCTGTTTCTCACGCACAGCACCATCAAAATCTATTGCCCTTTAGGCAGGCAACAGTGCCCCTGTTCCAACAATTCGTAACAAGTCATACACATATACAACGGAGAAACAAGATCTTGTGTGCTTGAATCTTTTTGAACAGCATCTCCACAGGGCATGTTACACTTGGCAGCACTCACACACAAATCACTTCTTGGCCTTTTTCCTCAGCAAGTCCACACATGTGTCCTGTTCATCATGCAATCAGCTCAGGGCTGGGCTTTTTTTGCTTCGTGTCTTCAGAGCCCGATTCATTCTTCACCTCATCTTTCTTCTCGTCTTTTTTCTTTCTCTTTTCTTTTGCAGCTTCTGCTTTCCGCTCTTTTTCTTCTGCGCTGACAGGTGGCTTGAACTTCCTCAGCTGTACCCACAAAATCAAAATGCATGGGTTTTCCACTTTCAGCAGCACAATAAGGATTCTTTATACAAGTGGCTTGGCGCGCCAGATGTAGTTGGACATCTCCACATCATGCTTAGTAACATCAATGAACATGCGTAGAAGCGCTTCACGTTGAGACCTGCAAACTTTACAAGGGCCAGGCAGTGAACATGACACCAGCGCCCTGATTGAACAAATGCACATACATGGGCACCGCACTTCTCCGGTGTCTTGGCCATGGACTGGACCTGTTGCTCAATCAACTTCTCATTCAAGTGTTCGAGCTGGTTCAGTGGACGGTCGATGCCTTTGATGAGCCTCAACACATGCCATAACTCAACACATCAACACAGAATTCTTGCAGCACTTACACAAATAAGGAGATCGCTCTGCAGCACGTGGAACAGAGTCATGTTCAACCATTTTGTCCTGTCAGTTTGCCGTTAGCAAGGTCAGCCTCATGCATCATGCCATGCCAGAGCACTTATTCAACACATGTCCTTCACATTGCAAGCCAGATCGATCTTTCGCCCCAGGATAACCAAGAATGTTGCCAAAACCTGATATGGGTTCGTGTTCTGACTGACCGCCGGGAATTGGATCTTGTCCGCAGAGCCTTTCAACCTCAACACACACAGCACAGCCATTCTACAAGGAATGACACCCTGAGGCAAATCCAAGCCAAGAAGCGAAGGCGGCGGAGCTTGAGAATCTTGCCCGCGCTCAGGCATATCTTCTGTTTCAGCATGGGGGTCGAAAATCGTCCAATTAGCATCCTCCAACTCAGCATCCGCTCGGTGCTGCATGCCTTCGCCTTTTTCTGTAACAGCACGCTCCAACTCATCCACTGGTACCTTGACATACTCTGCACCGTTGATGGAGTGCCTGAAGAGTTTTCCCTTGGC